TTGTTTTGGATCATTGTCCTGTTGAAATTTCCATTTTATATGTATTTCATATTCTGCATACAGAACCATAACATGTTGCAGCATTGAGCGGCAAAAATTGCTTTTTGAATACAATATCTTGGTGCAAATTCAGTCAGTATCCACAAATAAGATTGAAGAGGGACCAAGATAAGCCTGGGATTCGTTATGTTAAAGCCAATCAGAGCCGGTGCTTGGTATCTATCATCCCCTACGTCACCCGTTCCAAATCCGCAGTACGAGAAAAATGCTCAAAACTTCAAAAGTGCTCTACCATCTTTTATTGTTTCAGGGATCGTAAATTTTCCGATCATCGCATGTATGTTTCTTAGTTTTCCAACTATTGATTATTGGCTGCGCTACTATTATTTTAGCCGCAACTGTATGAGATGTACGAGTGTTCAAAATTTGGTCCCCTTTGGAGTGGACCGATAAGTACCATATTTTAACATTATACATTCATTCATTCACAGTTAAAATATTAAGTTGATCAAATTTAGTTCAAACTGATTATATATTTTTATTTATTTATTTTTAACAATTCCCAAGTCCGAAGACCACATTTGTGATTTTGTTGTGTTACCTGAAAAAGGATTTAGTTAGTATCGATATTAATTTTTAGTCCATATGTATCTATATATTAATTAATAATCCATATTAATTTCAACACCAACATATCTTAAAGATATTTATTGAAAATTTGGAGTATTTTTGAATCTCTGAAACCGGCAATTCTCAGAAAGTAATGTTTTCTCTAAAAACCCAAATATTTGTTTTGTAATCAGTATCAAAATGCTACATATGGTATAAGATGTATCCCCAAAGTGAAATGGAAGTGGGTTTGTATATCGTGATATATTAATGCGACATATCTATATGAGGAGGGGGGAAGTCTAGCATAGGACCCAGTCCCGGATCGTTTGAAATTTTTTAAGTAGCCCTTGAAGCCCTCATTATAATAATATGATTATTTTTCTGCACTAAACACTTCGTTATTTTCCCCTGATTTTCGAAAACTCAGAGCAATGTGGGTACCAATTATAATTAGAGTAGTCTTAGACCTTAATAAACTTCTTTAACCATTAAAAAAGTAAAAAATTTGACACTGTGGGGAGGTGACAGAAGGAGTAAACCGAAAGGACATTATCTAAGTTAGGGAGACTGGGGCACCTTCGGCATCGAGGCACATTCGGCAATCGCGTTTTTGATATGAATTCTACATCACTGGCTTTTATCCATAGGCGTCGGATATCAAAATAAATAACTGTGGCAAAGTTTTGAAATCTCTTGCTATTAAGCTTAAAAAATACAAAAAACCGTACATCTAGGTTTTTTGTATTGTTTTAAATGTTTTTTGTAATATTTTCATTCAAGTCAGTGTTATTAAAAAATCGTTATGTATATTCTTATAAAACAAAAAAAAAAAAAAAAAAAAATATGTTTTTAGAAGATTTATAGAAAAAAATGAAAACAATAGATAGTATATTCGGGGTAGATTTAGCATTTTATAGTTGTGCACATACATATATTAAACAAAGCGTGTTTGTATTGCCGAAAATACAATAGAAAAATGTCAATGTCCGCCGCTAGAAAATATAGAGCTCTAAAATCAGTGCCGAATGTACCCCAGTTTGATGAAATTGAGTATTCAGTTCGCTACATACAGCTCCGTAATGTATTGAAATATTCTTACTGAAGAAAACCATCTTCATTTTTTGAATTCACGTAATGTTTTCTGGTCAAATTATTGTTAAAACATTACCAATTGCTATCTTTATTGTAACAATAACAAAATTTCTATTGGATTTAGATCCGGTGACTGCATAGGCCCTTCATAATATCAAAATTGTTGTCCTGGACAAATGTTTTGCTAATCGACTGGTTTGTTTTGGATCATTGTTCTGTTGAAATTTCCATTTTATATGTATTTCAAATTCTGCATACAGAACCATAACATGTTGCAGCATTGAGTGGCATAAATTGCTTTTTGAATACAATATCTTGGTGCAAATCCAGTCAGTATCCACAATTAAGATGAAAGAGGGACCAAGATAAGCCTGGGATTCGTCATGTTAAATCCAATCAGAGCCGGTGCTTGGTACCCGTCACCCGTTCCAAATCCGCAGTACGATAAAAATGCTCAAAACTTCAAAAGTGCTCTACCATCTTTTATTGTTTCAGGGATCGTAAATTTTCCGATCATAGCATGTATGTTTCTTAGTTTTCCAACTATTGATTATTGGCTGCGCTACTATTATTTTAGCCGCAACTGTATGAGATGTACGAGTGTTCAAAATTTGGTCCCCTTTGGAGTGGACCGATAAGTACCATATTTTAACATTATACATTCAAACAGTTAAAATATTAAGTTGATCAAATTTAGTTCAAACTGATTATATATTTTTATTTATTTATTTTTAACAATTCCCAAGTCTGAAGACCACATTTTCCATTCGCAAAATTGCAAAGTTTGAATGAAACTGATTACTCCCTTCGAGAGTTATCGTGAGCATCAGTCGGCTAGACAGACGGACAGCCGGTCATTTGTAAATCGACTCCAAATTGTCTGAAACGGATTTGGATAAAACATGGGACCTAAAACCAATATTTCAATGAGTCACATTTTTGCCGTATCAAAGTGTATATACCCTCATCCATATTGTCATGCCCAATTTTACATGAAAGGTATTTACTGAATTTTGGAGACCCATGTCTCAGAAAGCGTAGACTTATTTGATAAAAAATTAAATGTATGTTAAATGAATGTTTCAATCCGCTCTTCAGTCACTATTAATTGATACACATTTAGCTTTCAAGATTTTAAAAGGGTTTTCGCGGAAGTTTGTCTTTCCAGGAAATCTCAGGAAATATGCACTTTTTTCGATAAGAAAATTAAATTTTTTCAAATTGATACTCATATTGTTTTAGAGAATTTTAAAGAGCATTACAAAATACATGTTTCCTAGCCGAACTTTATAGGCCCACATCTCAGTAAATACAGATTTCTGAAAGAAAAAGAAAGAAATTTCCTCGTAATAAGTGGCCACAGAATTGCATATTGTAAACTAGCCTGTAAACCCCTCACCATGAGAATTTAAATAATGTAATCGGGCTGTCAGGATGTATTTTTATTCTCTGAGAAAATTACAGATACTTGAAAATGCAATTACAGATTTGTTGAAAAAAAGACCGTATGAAATTAAGCTTTTTGAAAAATTCCATATTTTCGACCACAAACGGAGTTAAAAAAGAGGTAAAGGCGGCTGTAACGCTATATTGACTGATTTATTGAATTTTTCAATGCAAATTTTTTAAGCTCCTTCTTAAATTTTAATTGCGATTTCAACAATATGTCGAACATGTCCACGTGGACTAAGAATTCAATTCTGATCAAGAATATAGGATATGTAAACCCGATGGCCCTTTGTAAGACATAAGACCTTCAAGAGGTCTTCGTGAGGACTTCTATTGGACAAGATATGATCCTGTTGGCTAACCTTTGAATAATGCCATGTGGGGAAAGTGGCGCCCTCTTGTTGTAAATAAAAATCGTTTAAAGTGGATAAAGTATATATATTCTAGATCAGGGTAAAATTCTAAGTCGAATTCCGTCTGTCTGTTTTAATCACGTTATCTTCAGAAGGAATTGACGACTCTATGCCAAAATTTTGCATAGAGTCGTCTTTTGTCAGGCAGGTCAAGTTCGAAGATGGGTTATATCGGTCCACGTTTAGGCATAGCTCCCATAAAAGGGTACCCCCAATTTTCGTTATTTTGGGGATCTTGAGCACGTTTTTCAACCGAATTCGCTGAAATTCGGTACATTGGATTCTTATTGGCTACCAAATTTCCCACTAAAATTTATAAATATAGGTCCACATTTTCTGGTATCCCTTATCGTACGTCCAATTTTCAGTTTTTGTGGGGTTTTGAAAGAATATGTGTATATTTTGGGTCGTTATGTCGCTCGAATGTCCATATAAGAGGCATTTCTTCATTGGCATAAGGCAGAATCATGGCCTTATACCATCTAAATCCTTTAAATTAAATTCGTCAGAAAGCAGCACAGTATATCATTTTGGGATACTCCAGTTGAGATGGACGTTGGCGAATTCAAATCTGTCTTTTTTATTTTTTTAAGAAATAAAAGGTTTTTTCTAGTTGTCAACTGAATAATCCCTTTTCTCTTCAAATCGCGATGTTTCGCCTGGTTTTTCCCACAAAATGAGTTGGAGATTTGCGAACAGTCTGCAAAATCTTGTTAAATCTAGGAATTATTGAAATGTTAAGGAATGTTTTGCACCCAATTGCAGCGATATCGTCTGAAATAATTTATACTTTAATGTCCTAAATGTCTAAAGGATATGCGAGGGTCCTCCAGAATAAAACGAAATAGGAAATTTAATAGTTTATTCTATACTTTAAGTTAGGGGGTGCTTAAGTTTTGCCCGCTTGCTTTTCCGACTTAAAATGTATTTTGAATTTTAAAAATGTTGCTTTTAGTTCTGAAGGAAACAAGGTCGTTCATACATATTAATATGTTTGGCATCATTTTCCATGTAATATGAGTTTTTCAATATTCCTGATCCCACATAGGGGTTTGTCAAGAAAAAACTTCCAAATTTAAAAAGTAGAAATGAAACTTATTATTTACTTCCATAATAAAAAATACAAAGGATAAGAATAGCAGCCACTATAGCTCAGTCACACATAACTGGCATACAGGCAATTGTTGTTATTGTTTCGTCGTACATACAACCATGCTCATCTACCAACAGAAAAATGCATTGGTATTAGTAAATGTTGTGTTTTGTTTTATTTTTTGCCACCACATGTGCTGTGCTGTGTGTGTGCATGCATAAGCAACAATTAACTTCAGTGTTCTTTTCAGTTTGATTTGTTTTCACGCTATTCCATTTAATTCTCAATCACTTTAATAATTCATACACTAAAGTGATTCACTTTGTCGGCCAGGTTTCTTTAAAAAGGGCGCTCGTCTTTGCACTTACTTATATGCAAAAGATCACAGAACATTGTTCTGTGTGCGGACGCATTGCGGCGTTGCTGTTCAATCGATTGAACTAGACAATTGCTTGCTGTTTGGCGGCGGCATTGTTTTTGTAGTTCATGTGAACGGTTCAATGCTCCAGTGGGGTATGGCTTTGCATATCCAGTGCATAATTTTTGTAAAGATGAGAATTGTGGCTGCCGTAAACGAAATTTGGATAGCAATCGATCGGATGTGATTGATTAGCGTGCCAATTTCGGGAGCGCCATATTTTCTCATGGTGATAAAATACATTCTGATTTGATTAGAATTGAATTGAGTTTCAACGATTCTATTTATTAAACCAACTCCATAATAAATGGCCCCAACTGAAAAATAATTATAAGGGGATGTCAGTCAGTATATACAATTACCTTTTAATAAGATGATGTTTAGAAAGGAATCCAGCAAAGACTTATGGATTGTCCTCGTGTGGAGGGAGTGTCGATACATATAGTTACGATTACCTGTATATTTTGTAGATGAGAGGTGCTCTTTTAAATCCCTTTTATTTTAGTTTTTTTTTTTTTACTTTTTTCTTTATTTTCTTTTAGGCATGTGGTGGTACTACTGCTGCTGGCGGTATAAGTTTTCCAATTATTACACAATTTCGACCAAATTCACTTGGGGACAACTCCATTGTATTGCCGGTAATAACTACAGATATTACAACAACAGCTACACTGCCATTAACAACATCAACAATTGTAACAAGCAGCGAAACAATACCACCACCCCCACCGGCCCACAAAACTGCCGATGTTTTAGACTTATCGGTGAAGGCGGCGGCAAACACAACACTATATACCAGCAATGCCATTCCAATTGTAAGCCACAACAACAACGTTATAATAAATGCAGATGTTTCATTAGGCTGTCCAATGTCAAATGATGATGATGATGACAATTCGCCCTTAGATTTATCTATAAATGCAAATCATCAACAGAATTCCACAACCACCAGTTCATGCGATCAGGACTACGGTATATTAACGGAAAATCCGTGCTGTACAGTGGTTGACAATGGCCAGGATGATGATTTTATACGACGTCTAATCGAAACCAGTGATTTTGATTTGGGACTTGATCAATTGCCCGATGCAAATGTGGATAATAATAATTCATTTAAAGCCGCACTGGATATGCCATTACTGGATACAATTGATGATGCTGATGGTGCAAATAGTGTCATGAAAGGTAATTTAGTAAAAAATAAATAAAATAAAACTTTAAAACAAATTTATTACCAAATTATACTAATTTAAATAAAATATTTTTTTATTTATGTTGAGTGTTGATTGTTTTTTCGACCTTTTTGTTGATATTCAAGTAATGAGATTATTAGAGCTTGAGACCTCAAGCTCAAATAATCTCATTACTTAAATAAAATATTTTTTTGTTTTGTATTATAGGTACTTCCACGATTGGACCCAATGATTCTACATATGCCTCAATGCCTGAGGATTCATCCAATTTTCTGAACTGTAGTTTGGATGATGAATATCAGTTTACAGACGAATCAACCAGAGAAATATTTAATCAATTACTTGATGTGCAACCATTAAATTCAACAACAATAACAATGGATAATGAGAAGAAAACTTTCAAAGAAGTGAATAGAACAGTAGACCAGGATGTCAATGATGATGTTGTGAAGGTAAGCTCTGTACACTGGAATGATATATAGCATTTCCACATTAAATGAAACCTTTTACAAATTAAATGAACCCTTTTCCAAATTAAATGAAACCTTTTCCAAATTAAATGAAACCTTTTCCAAATTAAATGAAACCTTTTCCAAATTAAATGAACCCTTTTCCAAATTAAATGAACCCTTTTCCAAATTAAATGAAACCTTTTCCAATTGAAATGAAACCTTTTACAAATAGAATGAAACCTTTTACAAATAGAATGAAACCAATGCTAAATCCAATCGAAAATGCATTTTCAAAAAAAATAAAATTATGTCCAAGAGCTGAGCTGTGTGACGTTTCAATGGAACATAACATTGTTGATGTAATCGAGCGAAGTATTCAAAAGCTTACTCGGCAAGATTGTTCTAACTACGTTATGGACATGGTTTTGAAAATCCCACAAGCTGCAAGTCGGGAACCCCTTCATTAAGATAAGCAGTTACCATATCATCAACAATTTATTAAGTCAAATATGTATTTCGCATTTAGGACCGGGTATTCAATTCTTGTTCTTAAATATTTATTTATTAAAATGTCAAGAAATACCTCACTTTGTATTACTATTTATTTAGTTTTATGTAGAAAAGATATTAAATGAAATCACACCGAATTAAAGAATATTTATGTTAATTACATAGCCATACAACTATATTTGTTAATATTCTTTGATTTAATTTTCAAATATTGGTTTGAAATTACTGCAAATATTATATTTCCTTAGATAAAAATAAAGGTTTCATTTAATTTGGAAAAAGTTTCATTCTATTTGTAAAAGGTTTCATTTCAATTGGAAAAGGTTTCATTCTATTTGTAAAAGGTTTCATTTCAATTGGAAAAGGTTTCATTTAATTTGGAAAAGGTTTCATTTAATTTGGAAAAGGTTTCATTTAATTTGGAAAAGGTTTCATTTAATTTGGAAAAGGGTTCATTTAATTTGTAAAAGGTTTCATTTAATGTGGAAATGCTATATTTCGATTGTCATTCAGGGATAAAAACACAAATTATTATACAGCGATCGATTCACTCGGAGACCTTTGATCCTATGTGCTTATCCTGAGCACCTAAAAATATGGGGCAGAAGAGATGAGAATGGGTTAGGGGCGTATTTAGAAGTTATACCTATTTCATAGGAAAGGGTAAGGTTAGGTTTGGGGATGTGCACTCACTTATGTGGCTGCAGCACTCTGAGACCGTCTGGATTCTTGTGATCATCCACGAAAAAGAAAAAGATATGAAGAGATCTATGGAGCTTACAAGGAAGTGTGAGAAGGTTAGTATTAGATAGTATCGACGGCTATAGAAGTCGGACAGAAGATATATGACGTGTCAAGGTTGCGCTTTCCCAACCACTTAAGGTTTCTAATTATGCTGTAGATTAGAGCAGGTTCTGTTGTTGAGAAGAAAATGAGCACCCACTAGTCTGTGCCGTCTGTAAGCCAGGCCAGGCAATGACCAGTAATGATTCCTGTCATTTCTCATATTTCAGCTTTGCTCAGGTTCAACAGTGAGTGTGTCCATTTTGTAGACAAAGACGGTCAAATAGATCTTGACACATTGCACCTTGGTTCGTTGTGCCAATGTTCATAGGCTCTTTCGTCGTAGAACGCCTCAAAGTTCCGATAAAGATGACATGAGGGTCGTTTGATTGAGCCATCAATTGCTAGATCTGTAGATTGAAATCCTCATCTAGCTAATTCGTCTGCTCTTTTATTACTCATGATGTCACGGTATCCTGCTACCCAACACAGCCGATAGCTGTAAGTTCTTCCACAGCTGTTCTACATTTGAGTACGGCCGCTTGACTATCCACAAATATAGTCACCGGTGGACTTCCAAAAAGCGAAGATTTCAGCATGGAAAACACTACAGTTGCTATCCAGCTTGTAGGTTAACTCAAGGCCTAGCCCTTCACAGTAGACACCAGCTCCTGTATCTTCTTCCATCTTGGATCCGTCTGTATAAAAAAATGACGACATCTAAATCGTCTAGGAAAGTGTTATAGCATCAATCTTATATCAGCCAAACAATTGCTTCGAATTGTTAGACATCTGTAGATGATCAATGACTTTTAGCCTTCTAACCTGCATTTGGGGTTCTTCATTCAAGTTACTCAAGCCATTAATCCTCTAACCGGACAATTTTAATTCACACTTCTTCTAATATTGGCGCTCAACAATATTTAATCAATTGACAAATTCTCACTGTATTTCTCCTCAGAAATTTCATCGGTTTTTAATAATAACAACGTATTTGGTTAAATATCGGATATTGTCAATGTAATACCCTTAGGTAGTCTAAGTGAGCTAACAATTGTCTATAATTTGCCGCCAATTTCACAAATATTACCGATTCGGCATAAATAGTGCTGCAGTGCCATGAACCATTTGGTATTTACTCATGTGCCGCTTTTTTTTTTAATTCACACTTCTTCTAATACTGGCGCTCAACAATATTTAATCAATTGACAAATTCTCACTGTATTTCTCCTCAGAAATTTCATCGGTTTTTAATAATAACAACGTATTTGGTTAAATATTTCGGATATTGTCAATGTAATACCCTTAGGTAGTCTAAGTGAGCTAACAATCTGAAGATCGATCTATAATTTGCCGCCAATTTCACAAATATTACCGATTCGGCATAAATCGTGCTGCAGTGCCATGAACCATTTGGTATTTACTCATGTGCCGCTTTTGAATTTATAGCCTTAAAAGCCCCGTTGATATCGACAAATATAGGCACCGGTTCCAGATAATTTATCCTACGTTATTTGACTAATTCAGCCGCTTAATTGGGTTATTTGTAGTTACGACAAAAAAAGCAACTGCCCCATCCATCTTGACAGACCGCGACAATTTGCACCAACCATCTTGGCAGACCGCATCCATTTGTATTCAAGGATTATACCGTGGTATTTGGCTCCCAAACATAGCATACGTACCACCAATTCGGTCTTCGTATCAGAATTGTCATAGCACATAATATCTGATGATTAGTAGAAATTTACCAAATATAGTCATATAGTCATAGGATCTTCTTGTTTTGACCATTTCGATGGATATAATCCGTCGTTTTTTTAATTTTGGGAATCGTCGGTGTATATTACAAGACCGTTCAGAGAGATAGGCGGTATTTCATCCATCTAGGATGACTAATCATAATCAAAATGGGTTAGCATATAGTCACATGCGTGATTTCAATTACATACCTTGTACCAAGTGTAAGGATTGCCACGTCCCGACCTCTGTGAAACGGTTTTTATTCCAAGTGCCTGACACCGATAAACATTTCTATAAAAGACGCTGCTATTCTAAAAAACACATAAAGTTTATTTATTTCATGTTTAATTGAATAAGTAAATCAATTCAATTCACAATAATAATTTTGTCCTCTTTTTTATTTAAGGATACCACCAAATCAAATGAAAAGGAGGAAAACAAAACTGAAAGTGTTTTGGAAAAACAACAATTTGCATCTCCAAGACAGCCGGATTTAAATATAAATACACCAACTATTATTAATTGTGC